TAAATCTACATTTAGTTCTGATGAAGATGTAGTTCAAAACGATTAAATACATCACTTGTGCTGGGAAAATATTTTCATTCTTATATTTATCTACATTTGTTGCATAAACACTATTCATATTAGTTATAGGCAAGCCCTATAGCTTTTCATATCACTTCAGTGAATTTAGGAAGGCCTCCATGTGCATGTAACTTAGCATTCTATATACATGTCCTTTATTTTTTTGTGAGACTGAATCATCTAATTGGTTTTGAATTAATAAGCCATTTAGAATTTTACCAGGAGTATGGCAGAATAATAGGTAGAAATTTTGTAAATTTGATCCAGTTTGATAGTGATTGTCATGAGTATAGTTTTTAGACCTAGACTATTCATGATTAAATAAGGAACCAGGCCTTGCTCTACCATACCAAAAATATATGGTGGAGGTTTGTTTATCATTGCTATAGAGCTGAAAGCTTAATGGCCATCCAATGATTGCATTATGTTGAAACATAAGGAGAATCTTCCACATCATTATCATTATTAGATAAAGATTGTAAGAGTTGAGTATTTATTATACTTATTTTATTACTAGTATTATATACTGTAATGAAAAAAGAAATCAGAATTATAAATCCTATGATCATCAAGTATTTCTGCATCAGGTTGTTTGATATTGGATGAAATGGAAAGATTTTGTTTTCTGTTTTACTGTTGAGTACCTTACACATACTGGTACAGTTTGCATTAGTAATGTTTAAAACTTAGCCAGTTTATGGGCTTGATTTTAAAATTTATCAGCAGAAATCTTATGAGAACTAGTGTATTTGTTATGTTTTCCTGTCAGAAGTACAAATTGCTTTTACCTTTTCTATGGCTTTATGTAATTTGATTATGTCCCTATCTGTATGACTGTCTGTTGTAGACCTAATTAACAAATTGCAACTGCCTATTAACCATACATTAATTGCTAGAATTTAATCATAATGCTACAGTGCTAGTTTTTTCAGGTGTCATTGGTAATGTCTGACAACACAGTGTGGAATGTAAGTGAAACTGCCAACGTCTATATCACGGGTGTTGTATCTGGGGTGTCTGGTGTTGCATCAAGTGTAACACATGGCGTTGGAGATGTTGTCCACAGTGTTACATCTGGTAAGATATGTTGCTGAGATATATGAAGCTGAAAGGATTTGTGCTTTGTGTTGTAATAAAAATGAGGATCTTTCATTGTGGATATAGTTTTGCTGCATGCCATTTTACACTCTTTATTTATGTGTGCCACATGCATGTGCAGTATTTTAATGTGGGCTGTTGATCTTATTTAAGCAAAAAATTATTCTTGGTCTTAGTAAAAGACCTATTTTATGGGACTATTAACACTATGAGTCTATGAAATATGATAATGTATAAAAAAAAGAAAATGATTTGATTAATGGTAGCTAATTGTGCATGATCTGACTATAAGGGAGATAGGCATGATAATACTATCTAGAACATAGTAAGACACAGAACAAATCATTATGTATGTTACCACAACTGAGGTACCTTTGCAAAATTCCTAAGGAATAAGACTGTCATGTCCTATATCACAGAAATCCTAATGAAAAGAATTGTTCTGAAATAATATTGCCAATTTCTGTTGAGTAGAATTGTCATTTCAGGGATGGGAGACGTAGTACACAATGTCTCTCAGGGAATGGGAGATGCAGTACATAACATGACATCGGGGGTTAAGCGCCTTCTGACCTACCCTCCAACTGCACACCAAGCAGAGGAAGAAGAAGAGTGCCCGGGGGTCTTTCCTCCAACTCCAAGAAATACATCGGTGTCTCCCATTTCAGAGCATCCACATAGTGATGTGTGAGTTTAGAAATCATGTCTTCTTAACTTTATTTTATTTCAGTATTAAATACTGAAATTATTTTCTTATCTTATTTCATTGTGCTCTGTAATGATAAGCATGAATGTTATGTTGGTCAACAAGTTTTTGCATGTAGGCTAATATTGTTATATTAAATTTTGTTCACAGGAGCCCGGGAACTGATTCTGAGTTAGCTGAAGAAGAGGCTGAGATTAACAATGAGTTGGGTATTACTGAGGATTATTTTTCACAACCTGAGGTATGTTTTTTTCAGGTTCTACATGTTATTCTTATTTTGGTCTGACATTCTCTTGGACATGTAGAAGAGATTTTATTTTGAAAGGGAAGATGGTACGTTATTGATTTGTAATGTGCTAAATGAGATTCATTGAGTCAAATGTAAAAAAACTATAAATAAGAATAACTTCACAAAGCATTGGCTATAACTGACAAATTTCATCCTTTATCATCATTTGTATTTATATACTTTGGCAAAAATCTGAATTCCAGTTTCTCTTGTCTGTGAAACTATTCAGTAATATTTATGTTTTTTCTTCTAAATGCCTGTTAATGAATTGGGGAAGAGGACAGTTACATGATACATGTATATGCTAATTTGATTTAATATTGTGTACTGTGTACTGTTTTACCAAACAAAGTGGAAGACTTAATTTATGTTATTCATAGAAGTTTTACTTTTATGTATTTTATACAGGAAAATGTTTTAGAGCTAAGCATTGAGGGACTAGAAGCTAGTATTGAAAAATGCAAGACCTTAATCCTGCAGTGTGAGGAGTCCAGCACCAGAAGACGAGCACTTGTCCATAAGCTGATAAAGATAAGATTGCGTTTACAAGTAAGGTTACCTCAGGATTCTCTGTAAATGTATGTATGCATGATGCATACATACATTTACCTATATGTATGCAACTTATTTGTTTTTTTTTTAGTTACTGATATTAGAATTTATTATAATAATTTTCACTGGTGATTCATAGCCATATGCACAGAAAGTCATAGTTTAATCTCTGAATCACAGGAAGCAAAAGATGCAGAGGAGATTGCATCCACTGGAGTGCTTTTTCGTTTGAGCCATCAACTCCAGCCCCAAAAGCCTCCTCTCACCCGAGCATCAAAGCAGTACTGTGACAAGTGTGCCCAAATCATTTGGGGGGTGATTCATGTGTCATACATCTGTAGCTGTAAGTGTTGTGTTTCTATGGGATATGGATATAGAAATTAACAGGTTTGCCACAATTTCAAAAGTAATTGATGCATTTTGTTTTCAGTAGGCTGAGCAATTTACATGCAGATAATTGTATGTATATTACTAAATGATGGGAATAATATATAAAGAACCAGAAAATAAAAGTTTTTTGTACTTATCATATTTTTCTATCTGAATATGCATTAGTAAAACTCACCTTTATATCAGAAAATGTTTCTTTGAAAATCATTCTAATAGGTAGATTAACCCTCTGAATAAATTTTAAGGAAAGTGTTGTTTCATGTTTTTTAATTAGTAGACTTGTAATCTTATGGAAAAAAAAAAAAAAAATTGTAAATGATGTGTTGAAATCTTCCTTGTCCAATAATACTCCTCAAGCCTGTGTTCTGGTTTAAGATAGAAGTTGGTTCAGGGCCAAGCCAATGTCTAGCACACCCTTGGGAACAGAGAATGAAAAAGATTGGATAATTGCAATGACACAGTTTAGACATCACTTACGCAGGTGGTTAGTATGAGTTATGTGTTTGTATCCACTTTCTGTTTTTTGTGAACAACACACCAACAGTTACAATACCTTACAGTGTGTGAGTACCAGTGTCATGGGAGGTGTGTGGAAGGCATTCAGCGCAGGTGCCCAAGTGTGAAGGTAAATGAAGATGCATCTTACATCCTCAGAATATGCCCAGAAGTGGGATTGTCAGCCCAGAATTATAAGTGTGCAGAATGCAAGATACTGATTACAAACAGTGAGTTGTGAACCCTTTTTAGCTTTTAATTTTTTTATTGCCTGTTTTTATAAGATAATGCCAATTGTGATAGGATTTCTTTTATCCCAAACTCTTCATTATTTACTAGTGTTCATGATCATTTTTTTTATGGGTATTGGTAGTAGCCACCTAATAATGTAATTAATTATGCAAAATATGATTGACCCAGCTGATGATCAGGGTTAAGCAATAAAGACAGGTTTAAATAAAAAAAAAGTTAAGCCTTAAAAGTTAACTTAGTATTTAAAGTTCAGTTAAGTTATGTACAAATACACCACCCCTTTTTGGGCACGTTTAGTATCAGGATTGTGCTGGATTATATTGCTTGATCAACAAAGGTTATAGAATGGCAGTTCAAATAATACTTTTCCTACCCTTAAATATATAGAAGTCAGTGGACCAGCACCTTACAATCAAGTGACTATGGTACAGACAATGCAACCTTTGGGCAACTAAGAAACAAAGAGTAATCTGATGGCTATGAGAAAGTCAGAAGGCTGCTCTGAATCCAACAGATTATGTTACTTTAGTATTCATAATGTTTTCTTGAATACTTTCTTTTCCCTTTTCTCCTTTTGAATATAATTTTTATTTATTAATAGAAGGGCTGTTGCATAAGGTAAATTTGAATTTACTTTCTACTTTTCTTCATGTACTATCTTTCGCTGCACATGCCTCTATGTGTATATGCTTTTGTATAGAGCAGAATATTTTTTATGATATTTTGTGATAACTAAGATGATTATAGACTATGGAGCCTCATTGTCTGCAAATAAGAAGAAAGAATTAGGATATGAGTAAATAATGCTCTAGGTCTGGCTCTTAAAGTTCCCCAGAGAGCTTCCCAAGGCCTGGCTAAAAGGGCAATAATCCTTGACTTGAATTATTTCTGCAGAGGCAGTGTTAGTATCCTTTAACTTATTCTTGACAACGATTTGAGAAGTTCTTTGTTCTTGTATCTGTCCTGTTATTGTTTTCATAATTTTAATAAAGTAGAGAAAAAAATAGTAGTTTTGTGATATTCACACCAAAGATTTGAATTCTGTTGAAATTATATATTCAGTAACTCATGATATCCTTTTGGGTAAATGCAATGATGTGTTTAAATTTGAAGATAGTACTTGATGGGCCTGTAGGTTATTGATTGTACATGAAGATTTTCCGTCAGTGTGATAGTCTCTATATCAAAATCAGTGTCTTTCTCTTTCTGTCAGTGTAAACCCATACTTCTAGGTATGTGCTTCAGTGCTCCCATTATTTAATGACAAAGGTCAAATGATTCATAACCATTTATGTGGGAGTTTTAGTGTCTTATGAGAATGGATAGGTGTTTAAGATCATTGTTTTAAAGTTTTGATTGTAACATATAGAAGAGGAATCACTGCATTCAGTGATTCTTGAAAATATACAGATGGGAAAGCAGATCATCAGTAGGGTAATGTTTTATTATATTATCTGAAAATTTTGTCTGTTGATTTGGGAAAACATTCTTATTACAATTGGCATTGTTTCATACTTTAAAAAATTGACAGTGAAATTTTTCTCTTACTTGTGAGAGTATTTTGATTTGCATGATTCTTTTTGTTGATTTGAATGATGATTTGGGAAAACATTCTTATTACAATTGGCATTGTTTCATGCTTTAAAAGTTTGATAGTGAAATCTTTCTGTTACTCATGAGAGTATTTGATTTGCATGATTCTTTTTGTTAATTTGAATGATGATTTTACAAGTTGCAATTCTGTGTCTTGTTATTGTAAGTTGAGCATCATTATTGCACATTGACTTGTAATATTTCAGCCATTGTGTTGAGCACTGCTGGGCACTCATTTTTGTCCCTTCCTTTTTTTAAACTGAAACTTTAAACCAGTTATCTAATTTGTTTGTTTCAAACTTTTTCAGAATTCACTGTAATCACAAAGCACGGCAGGAAGTTAAAATGCAGAGGTATTGGCTCTTGAGTAATGACTATGATTAAGAAGTTTCTGTCAGATTCTTTGTGTCTCTTTGGCTACTTTTATGGTTAAAAGTGTTGAAATATAGAAAACAATTGGCATTAGTTTGAGAAGCTATTATAGAAGGCATCTGCTCCTTGTTACAACCTGTTTTCCTTTTGCTTTGATTCAGAAATCAGGATTAGTTTCTTTGATCTTGTTGTTAGGCTCTCTCTTGTATTTGGCTCTTACTCTGGATTGATAGACCTAGGCAATGTTGGTGTAGTTATATTGAAGCTCATTAATGAATTCCTTTTATTCCTTTTTTCTGTCTCAATCTCCAAGCATAGTGCTATCAGACATTTGGGATTAGTTTTGCCTGTCTTTAGTCTTAGATGGATTGAATGAGTTGTTTATTATTATTTTTTTAACAATTCTTTGTTGCTATAGTTTTGTTTCTGATCAATATCAGTCACGCATCCCTGATTAGTTTTTATTTCAAGCCTTTTTAATTCATATTTGTTTGGTATTGGATTTACCTTTTACAAAATGTTGGTATTAAATGTTTTAGTTTATTGGTTCCAAAGATATATTCTCAAGTGCAATGACTGTGTAGAGATAATGTCCACAGACTTTGTAGAGCGAGAAAGAAGTATAGTCTAATTCCAGAAAGTGGACATTTGAAACCTAAGTATTAACTGGTAATTCTTGTAAGAAAATGATCTGAGAGTAGTGGCTCAAATTATCAGGCAAACATTGAACGTCTGTGTGATTTCTGTGTCAGATGCTGTCCAATCATCAAATGCAGTTATGTTTGTCAGGGATATTGATCTGCATGAGAATAAAGAATCAAATACAGAATTTCAGCAAACAAACTATCTGTATCATGTATTTTTTTTTACATTTTAAGAATTAGATTAAGAAATTTGTTATATGAAATACAAAATCTATGATTCTCTTGGAATGGTTATGGTTATTTCAAGTGGTAGAGTTGCCGTATCTTGCCTAACTCATTGATTTTAGTGTCTGTTTTTATAATATAATGTTTGCTTTATTACTCCATTAGTCAAAATTAGGTATAGTTATCAGCATAAAAATCTGGTCCTAATGCTGTATTTTAGCAGCTGGTAAAGAACATTTACTTGTATATTCTGTTTTTGTTTCTGACTGTCGTGCTCATTTTGATCTTGTTTTTAAGGGGTCCGTCTGGTAATTTTTCATCAAAAAATCTTCGGATTTGCCGATTTTGCGCTGTATGCATTTTTGATGAGTTGTTGAGTGTCCGAATCTCCCCTGAAATATTTAAGTCCCCCCTGCAGTTTCTAAGGTGGTAGTTGCCACCTTAGATACACACGAAAATATTGTGATTTTCACATTACCTTCAAAAATTGGTAATTGTGACGTAACAAACAGACATAGAAAAAAAAGGCTATCTTCAGAAAGCATATAAAATACTACAAAATATGAGACCAACATGCATTTTCTATAAATTATCAAAAAAATTGGAAAAATATTGAAACTAAAATAAAGATTTTATATTTCTTTTATAAATTAGAAAAAAAAATTATTTGCTGTTTTTTGAGAAGCTTTTATAATTTTATCTTTGGATCATATTTCGTCAGTTTTATCCTTCTGCAAAATGTCTTGAACATAATAAGCCCCCCGCCAAAATGGGGGTACTTTTGGCCTATACGAGTTACCCCCTCGAGGACGGATTTTTACCTA